GCTGGACTCCAGTAAAGAGCTCCAGATGGGCAGATGGAGAGATGCCATTTCTGGAGATGTTGCCCCCAGTGCAGTGGCACAGGAGGTGGCCTGTCTTACTCCTGCTCCATGAGGTAGCCACTATCTGGGGCTAGGAATCAAGGTCCTGATGGCATGTTTGTGACAGTGCCTCGGGCAAGTCACAAACAGGACAAACGGAGAGGGTGGCAGGGTTGGCAATGGTAGCAGCAAAAGGTTGACAGACAACAGTTGTTATGTTTGGTTGTTCCTTCTGGTACCAGCAACCATAATTCACATTAACAAAACAAAAAGCAATGGACTGCTTTGGTGCAGTTTTATACCACTGCGTTATTTTTTTCGCAACTGCATGACAGTGAACCAATTCATGAAGAAACACGTGCGCTTGGTGGCCAAAGCTTGGAAGATGGCAAGTTTTAAAAGAAGACGCAGCACTTGGGGAAGGGAGAAGGGGTAAATAGTATTTGTATTTGAATTGTGTGTAGCAGGCCGGCAATACCTAGGATCAATATGTTTCCTAGGAGTTGGATTTGATCACAGGACACCTGCCTGCTGTGCTAAGGGTACCCCTGTGATTAATGATTTTGTCAGCTCATATGACACCAGTATCCCCCCAAACGCCCCAGTGCAATTTGGGTTTTCAAGGCATTTGGTCACAAAAGAGCATATGCTGGTTGTGCATATTTTTAAAATTATTACATTTATGCAGTAAGTTGATCTGTTTGGCAAGTGCTGCCCTGCTCTATAACCTGAGGACAAAATCTGATTCATCTGCAGCCTGCTCAGCGTGCAGGCTCACTAATAGGTCAAGTATAAGGAAACAATCTCAGGAGTCGAAAGCAGAAAACCAAAGCAAATTAAAAACCCACAACCTCCACAGTAAAGAAGGCAGAAAGCCCAACCTGAGAAGTTAGAGGCATTACTGAGTGTTTGCCTCTGACCCTACTTAGGCAACTATTTCCCTCAAATGGCAAGTAAGGTGGTGCCTCGCTGCGACAAGGAGAACCCTGTTTTAAGGTCCCGAAACACACACATCATGCTACCGAATAGTGGACTGCTTGGCCCCAGGAGCTGCTCCAGGCATGAGATGTATCTTCCCTGGGCGCTCCATCAGACGGACGCCAAGGGGTCCCACCAGGCCCTGAGGGATCACGAGTGGCACTAAATAGCTGCCGTTAGGTACCTGAACTGGACCACTGTACTAAAGAGGGTTCCCTGCCACTTTGTAATGGAATGATGAATTATCTGCATATTTTCTTATTGAAGCTGTAAATGATTAATTATTTTCAGTTTTTAATTTCCAGTATTTTTCATCCATTCAAATAGTAAGTACAGCATTTTTGGCAGCGGTTTTTAACATTCCCTGTTTCGATGCCACAACGTCTACTACATCCAGCTAGAAGCAGTTTCTCACTGAATTCCTTATCGGCCAGCACTGTTCCTCATGTGATTCTCATCACTGTAAATCTGAACAGACTGATAAAGGACAATTAAAGAGGGTTGTTTGGCAAATATCCCGTATTTCTTTATGGGTGTTCTTGCTCTGCAAACACAGGAAAGCAGCAAAGCACATAAAACGTGACAGTAGAGCACCCAGCCTGTTGCTCGTTTTTCTGTTTATTGGTTCCGCCTAGAAATCAGAATTAAATACATGATACATACCTACATAACACCTCCCATCTGAGGATTTTTAAGTACTTAGAGCTTTCAGACCCTTGTGTGGCTGTATACTCTCCCCTTTATAGGTGGCTAGCACGGAGACAAGTGAATAATTTATAGCAGGTCTATGAGACATGGCTACTCGTGTGTTTTACTTGACTGCTAGCTTACGCACTTGGCAAAAATAAACCTCCATTTGTTACTGGCTGTTGTTCCTGAGAGAAATGTTACCTAATAACAACAAAAAAAAACCCTTAGATGAATTTTAGGTGAAAGAACAAAGTGGTTAGCAATTGGAGTTTTAAAACTTGCGTCTGGGTGAATTTTTCCAGTTTCTTTCAAGCTTCTGGAAGTGGCATGTTTGGCTTCCAGGCAGATTTTGTTTGAGAAGGGTTAATAATCCAGTGACTGTCAAGGATCCAGTTTGGTCAGCCACCTGATGTACTTTGAAACCTCCCTGTTTGAAGCATTATGCAGAGTTCTTCTCTCCCTGCCCCTGCCTTCTGCAGGATGGCTGTTTGTGCTCACAGCATTGCTGCTTCTGTTACTTTCTTAGAAAAGGGGCTATAAGATCCCATGGACTTTATTTAGGTAACCCAACATGACTGCAGTCCGCGGAGCCCCGCAGAACGTCCCTCTTCACAGTCATCTCCAGGGGTTGATCTCAGTCCTGGATGCATTTACTGGCAAAAGGGCACTATTCAGCGTCTTGCCACAGCCTGGTGACCTCTGGAAGCCATAAATATCTCCAGGCAGCTAACATCAACATGGAGGAGTCTCAAGTTTGGAGCAGGAGACGTGAAAATTGCTTGCAGTCATATCTGTGCCCCAGGGTATTTCATGTCTAGAGGCTTGCGTGGGGCCCTCGGCTGTAAACTGTTCTTGTGCTCAAAGCCAAGAACATGGATTTTCACTTGTTTCTAATTACGTAGGATAAAACTGCTTTCTTAGGGTCTTTTCCTTAGTCTCACAAGATGTTTACAGGTCACTGACTTCAGTGCTAGCCCAAGACATGAAAGAGACAGCACAGCTAGTTTAGGAACCCTTCGATATTCTCTCTACTCACACACTCTGACATTTCTTGCATAGCAGTTGCTTGATGCCAAAGTCAAATGATTTTCTAATTTTTAAAATCAGTTTAGAGAAACAAATCCGTTTCAGCATTTCAGGGAGTTAAACATTACAAAGCAAAGGATGTTTATCCTTGTTCCTTTTACAGAGATAAAACGCTGCTCTGTAAATCCATAGTTACTCTGATTAGTGAAATAGTGGAATACAACAAATTCCAAGCAACCAATTTTTGTCTTGAGTCTTATAAAAGTGTTAAAAAATTGTAATGGGTTTGCCTCCGTGGCTTAACTTGTAATGTGTCTGTAGTGCAGAAGTCCATCAGTTAAAGAATTTACCATAGTTCAACCCTTTTATGGTTGTATATATTTAAAAGAATTCAGAATCAAATTTTAAAAGTGAATATGAGTTGACATAAATTCAATGCTAAAATTATTGGAACATAATTCAGCACCTGTAACCTACCCAGTGACTTCTGTGGGGTTGCACTGCTTCAAGTTGGTAGCAAACAAGTCTCTTAAGAGCAAGAAGAGCCTCTTAAAATAAAATCAATCACAATACCGTATAACCATATGCTACGGCATTTGGTCTTTCTGCATATCATCTCTCTTATGAAGGGATCTTCATCTTGGTTGGAATTGTAAGATGAATTACCTTTCTTTTCCTTCTTTCTAAAACAGCAGTGAAACAAGCAGTCCAAGTCGCTTCCCATTACAGCAATAGAAACATGCCTGTTAACCACAGTGAGAGCTGGACTCTGTCCTGAGTGGCTATATGAGTGATCAAAAGTATATTTATTATAGGAATGCACAGTTACGCTGTGAGAAATTTTGCTTTCATTCTCTTCAAAGGTTTCAGGCATCTCAGGGAAACCAAGAAAAATCATAACAGTAAGTCTTATGAGCACACAGGAGTATATCAAAGCCCTCATCATCTGATACTGATTTCCACTGTGTGTAAATAAGTATATGAATAATTTATTTACTTCATCTTTATAATCAAACAGTTCTGGGGTTTTTCTGTCTTACTTGGCATGGTAGGAGTAGCCTCGGTCTGTGTTTCCGCCTGCGGCCCGTAGCTCTTACTCATGAATTCACACCAGTGCTTGTTCTCTGGGATGGGTGGCCAAGCAAGGAGGGGGTCCTGTTGTGCTAGGTGGGAGCTGTGCACCTCCTAGCCCCCATCGGCGAGCAGGCCAAGGGAATCGAGGCAAAGGAATTGCAGGGAGTGAATCAGTGTGGTGGGGGAAAACATCACGTTTACTCATTTTCAAAATTTGGGGTGGAGTTCTGTTAGGATGAGAAGGGTTGTTGGGATTAAAACAAAGCAGATGGAGGCTGATAAAACCAGAGAAGAAGAGGCAGAGGTAGAGAACTGGGAGAGAAGAAAATGCAAGGGAATGGGGAGTCAGAGAGGATCGGTGGGGACTGGACCAGGCGGAGAATGGCCAGAGTGAAAATACCCCACTGGTATCTCTGCTGCAGTGCCCGGTGGGGCAGCAGCTTCTGCTCCTCTTGGCTTTGGTGTGCCGTGGGGCCTAGAGTGATGCCTCACTGGCATTATTTGTGCTCCCTGAGCCCACCTGGTTTGGGGAAGAGTAGTCCTTTCCCTGCCCATGTGCCCCCAGAGGGAGTCAGTTGTTGCTGAATGGGAAGAACTGTGGTTTCACCCAACTTGCTTCTGCCCCGGCTGATGGGGACACCTGACAGCGAGGGTAATGTAGCCCTGGGCTATCTGGGTTACCCCAGGTTATCTGGAAAACTGCTCTGAAACAGCACATCTTTGTGATGAACAGAGGCTCAAAAGCACAAAGCGAATTCCAAAGCTTTCCCCAACCCAAATAACAGCAAGGAGAGGATCCTTGACTCATACAACTCAGTCATAACTCATCATGGGAGCAGTGGGGTGACAAATGGAGGAAGCACTGCCGTGAGGGGGGTTACTGTAGGGATTTTTCTGCTTGGACTCTGGTGGTCTTAGAGGAAAATGGATGTATACTGTTGCTGAGGAAACGAATCTCCCAGGGGATGGTCGGCTTTTCGCCGGTGTGAATTTTTGCTGCCTCGTGCTCACTCAAGTCAATTAACCTAAAACCTACAAACTGCACATGCCACGGCTCTGTGCAATTATTATATGGAACTTTATACAGTTGCATGTGGATTTAATCATAAACAGCCCAGGAATGGGTTCAAGTTTATATTCCTCTTTAAATATTTGTATTCCTATAATGGAATACTGCCCATTTGTCTCTGTAGGTGCCAGCTTGCGTGATGACCTCAGTAAATACTTCTGGTTTCATCATTCTCAAGGGGACACGATGACAGTTCAGGATCCAAACCAGATGAATCTCTGTGCTGCTGTTTGGACTGTTGTCTCCTATGTAATTGCCGACATGGAGGAAATGTTGCCAAGGTAATAAAAGAGCAAGAAAGAAGATTTCTGTTCTTCAGTAAAGATTGTGATTTTGTGCATTATTATGTCTGTTTTCCTCAAAGCATATGCTCTTTTACACATTCCTCATTCTTTTTGCTGTTTTAGTATCTTCCATTTGTGATGTTCACTTAAAATTTCTTCTTTTAAGTACTTTTTAAATTTCTGATGAAGGTATGATACCTCTTTGACTATGATATAATAACCATTTGTATGCAAAGTGATCCTGTGCAGCAGGAAAAATATACCAAATAAGTTTGTTGCATCAGAATAACTAATGTATTGAGTTAGTATACATGTTTATGGGTTTGTTTTCTGTCTTTCACTCTGTGCATTAGAATGATGTACTATTAATAAAACAGACATTTCTTTTTACTCTCTTACGAGAATACCGTAGTTTCTATATTTTTTCAGGTTATAGGACAAATTAATCTTGGCTGGTTTAATGGTAATATATGGTAAAATGGTCAAATAATGGTCAAAATGTGAAAATAATAGGGCTTTTAATAGTGCATTCAGGTCCCGCTGTTAAATCTTACTAAAGATTGCTTCATGTGAGACTCAGATAAACAGGACATAGAGGATAGGAAGCCAGCCACAGGACTCCCAGATCTCCTGTGTTTCTTCAGGCACCTCCCCGTGGAAAGCTGTGCATGTCCTTTTCTTCCTAATGGAAGACTCGCCGTAGTGACATGCAGAGAATTTTGTATGGCAGTTTTTCTCTGAAATGCCATGATGTTTCAGAAACGGCATCACAGCTGTGATTTGTGACCTTCACTACCTGCCAGCTGGTATCCAAACGAAGTGTAAGAGCAGATTTTGATTCAGGCTGCTGAAGCCATTCCCAGCCGCCCCTCTCTTGCAGGGATGCCCTCCCCTGCTGGAAGCCAGGCAAGAGAATGCTGGTAGATGTGTGCTGTGATGGAGGAATTTATCTGGGAATTTGATTCTTGTATACTTTGTTGGTTTGGGGGGTTTGTTTTTTTTTTTCCTGCTCCAAAGGTTATGACTATTCAGATGAGTTTCAGGGGTATCTGTAGAGAAGATATAACTGGGGCTGGGGAATATTTAAGGCATATGATTTCTGCTTATTTCTTTGTGACATGATCTTTGTTTGTCCTTTTAAATTTTACAACAAGCAGACTTACAGATGAGAATAACTGCTGCAATATAATCATCACCAAACAACTAACGTAACGAAGAACACAGCGTATTAAACCAAGTGGCAGACAGTCCCTTGTGCCGTTAATCAGTTCTGTAGCTGAGCAATAGCTGAGTGATGAGCCATTCATTTTTATAGAATTAATAACCATGATTATCTGTTTACCATGATAATAGCAGGTTTACATCAAATTTATTAAATATTTCAATTTTCCCTCCAAATCATTTCAGGAATATAAAAGCTGCCTGGAGATACTCTGCTCTTTCTTTTTAAAGAAACAGTATTGAAACAAAGTTAGCAAAAATTTCCTCTGCTTTCAAGGCATGGTGCCTGTGCTGCTGCTTTCTGATTTGCTTGACAAGAGCATAGCTGGTGGTGCTCACCACTGCCAGATCCTCAGCTGTCTCTAAATCCAGCCTTTTGACCTTCACAGAATATTACTGACTGGTTCCTGAACTGCGTTCCACATCTTTTTCCCTCAAGGTATGCCGCTTTGTGCATCAGAGGTTCAGAAGGGTTCTCCATGAAGTTACAGTCATTGTTACAAATCTTAACCTCTTCTCACTTGGAAATGGGGTTTATTTGTGTTTTTCTCCAAGTCAAACGGAGAATCTCTGGAGTCAAGAATACTCTCTGCAGAGGAGAAGAACACTGCGGTATGCACGTGGTGCCGCAGCACATGCCAAGATGTGTTTGTTCGATCCTAGGCTACATGAGATAGGCTGTAAAAATTAAGACCTTGATGCCCCTGAAGAAAATTTAACCTTCACGTCAACTTCAGATATACAGTTCTAGAGAGAAGCTTGGCAGAGTGGATTTTGAAAAAATGTTCAAAAATCAAAATTGCTATCTTCTTTTTATAGAAATAGTGAAATCAAAATTCAGTTCTCAAATTGAATTCTCAAATTCTCAAATTGAAAAACAATGGTTTTTTTATATATAAAACCAGGTTTTGTTAAAATAAGACATTGTCTTTCTGATTCACCCCTACTTTTTCTATCTGTAATGGTTCTCAGATCTAAAAGTTCATCTCTTCACAGTGCTGTCCTGATAACCTGCTTGTTCAGATGTACCTCTCTCAAAAATTTCCATAAACAAAGAGATGCTACTAAATTTCTTTCTTTTCCCAGTGGGATTTTGTACCTTCTGTGCAATAGCTCATCTTTATCCCTGCTCAGTGTAGCAATTATGCTGTTTCAATTGGTGGCAATTAAACATATAACGGTTGGTCAATTTTCAATTGAAGAGCACTTCCGAAGTGATCCAGGTGTGCCAGCGTAACTTTGCTTTCCACTGGCATGCTGCCTTTGATCTTTGAGAATCTTTCTTTAGTTGAGAAAGTAACAGCTGAGGATATTATTTATATTACTATTATTGTCAGGGTCAGCTGCCATAAATCTGTGCTTTTCATAAGTATTTTGACGACATTCTAAGATAAAGGGACCATGTGTATGTTTCCCTCTGATAAAATAAAACACTGTCAGCTTTGGACTAGATTGCTTTTTGCCTGCAAAGATCTCTGAGCTGAGAGCTGAAAAAACAGCAGTAGTATTTAAATATATGTCAAAAATTTTAATTTCAAATAAACATTTTCCTCAAGGTATTACAAATCTCTTGCTTCTGCTGAGAAGAAGGGAGGCCCCTGGGTAGCCTTCCTTTCTGCTACAACTCAAAGCTTTCAGACATAGTTACAGAGGGACAAGGCCAATACATAATTCATTTACCCGACTAGACTATAGCACAAATGCTGATGAAAAGTCTCTTTTCAATACTGCATAATGTAACGTAGGTAATTTTGCCAGTAATAAAAGAAGAATTGCAGGATAGGAAACCGAGTTGGTGCTTTTGTCCTTCATGTGTCAAGACATTATTGGAGTTTCACTGTCTCTTTGAATGATTCAGTTCTATGTGATCCCACAAGATTTTTACCTCCCTTAAAATAATTAAAAACAAAGGAAGAGAGCTGTTTCCTGGAACAAGAGATGAAGCGGTGCTTCTGGTGCTGCTACACTGCAAACATCTCTGGCTGTATATTTAGTTAGTATGCTTCCCCCATAATGATTTGAGACACTTCCATTTACCATGAGTAAATATCAAACTGATCTTGATATCTATATCTGTCTCATGAAATATACATACCATCTAAATGTGCCCAAATGATTAATTTACTGCTGTGTAATGATTAGCATAAAAATCTCATCACTGCACAGGATAGAAATGTTACCACTAATTGCTGGTTGAAGTGAACAATGTTTTCTGCATAGAAATTAATGATGCATGCGTCGCAGATCACTCTTGAATGGGAAAATTCAAGACTTTTTGGAAGAGAAGCATCTTTTTTTTTCCTTCTTTTTTCTGCTAAATGATATGAGAGCCTGATCATGTATAATAGGAAGAAATATTTTGTGCACGGTCCATTTTATCTTTGCACCACACTTTTTAACTTACAACTTTTGTAAGTTTTTTTATCTTTTAATCTGTTTTAGTTTACTCTTTTTAATCTGTTTTAACTTACAACTTTTGTAATCTTCTGTCTACAGCAAGTATATGGAAGCACTGTCCTTTTGCACACCTTAGTCTTTCATGGTCATTACTTCTGGAAGCTCCGGCCCTTTTGCACAAAGGTTTGGCTGGCTATGGAGCTGTGATCTGTAGTTACAATTGTTTAATAAATATATTGTGCTAGCGCCTGATTGAGGCCTTTAGGCACCTCTCATCTTAGTAATCCTCTTTGCCCTTGGAGGAGGGACCTCTATGACAACATTATATACAGCTCTGTGTGTAGCTTGCAGTTTGATTTCACTTCAGGACAGATCACCCTCCTTTAGTTTATGTGAAGTTTCTATTTTCTGGGTTTTTTTTGGTTTTCCACTCTATCTTTCTCAGTGTCTGCACTGTGATATGGATATTAGGAATGACTAATGGACTGAAAAAAATCTGAGTATTTTGTGCCTTGGGGCTCAGGAACTGCAAGATGCAATTGAGATGACTCTGAAGAACAGCACATAAGTACATGGGTGAGAGCTCCATCAGGGCCACCACTTGCCATTGTCACTGGCCTCTGTTACAGGCAGGCAGAGCTTTGTGATCAATGCAATGAGTTTTCGTCACCAGTCATGATTTTCTGTATAACTATGTGAAAATCAGGTTTATGGAAACCAAAGAGGGAATATCTGAAGGAGGGACCACAAAAATTAAGAGCAAGGTAAGACTGAGGCACGGACTGTGGCTTCAAGTACCAATGTTTTACTCTGCTTTGCTGGGTGAGTTGGGGAACACTACCTAAACCTACCTCAGTTTCACTGTTAAATGTTGGTAGTGGTGTTTGGTGCTCGTGTTTGTTGCAGCCTGATTTAATAACACTGTGTTAAAATGTATGATGCATGTAAAATGTAAGTTCATAGCAGAGGTGAGGTTCAACTGGAGGGGAGGAATAAGAAGTTAACACCTTTTAGCTGCATGAGAATTAATCTGTAAAATGTGTCTTTTGGTAATTACTGCTTGCATTTACATTACTTGCATTATTTGCATTTGCATTACTATTTGCATTTACTATTTGTCATGACAAACAAAAAGAAATATTCCTCCTCCAGATGCTGCCATTTCAAAATAGAATTTGGACATTAGGCGTATCCATTTTAAACTAACGGTACTTTGCATCCAGGAATGATGTGGGATGATTATGTATGCCAAATGGTCGCACACAATGCCAGCTATATATATCATTTCACAGCCTTGGACTGTCACACGCATGCTAAGTCTCTTTCACAAAATTGGTGGACATACAGTGGGGCAGTATGGGAAAAGAGAATAGCTCAAATGGT